CATTCTCTCTCTCTTGCCCTCTTTTCCTATGACAATTATGGGAAAAGATTTGGTGCACCACGCATTGCGTGGCATTTTAAATTCCCCAATAATAATTTGGCGTGCTTCACACGGCACTGGGTTCAGCCCTCCTAGCTTTGGCCAACATCCCCTCTAGCCCCAGTACATACTTGAGTTGTGCACCCCTGCTGTAAAAGGTGGCAGCCCTACCCACACCAGATCAGACATCTGTCATGTCACGGCCTTATCTACACAGCCCTTCTTCCAACATATGGCACACACTAGTCTGTAACTATAAAACCCCCTGGAAAATTGAGTTTTGGGGTACTTATTAAAATTTGCAGAAGTTAGGGGGTACTTGCTACTTAAAAGGTTGAGAAACACTGCACTAGACTGCCCGTGCAGCCAGGTATAACCAAATCCCTAATTTGCACATCACCTTGCTGTAGTTCTGGTCATCGTTATGGTTTCAGTTATATACTGAATTAACTCTCCGTGTGCACAACTACTATGACTGCCATTAAGAAGGACCGTAGTTTGGGGAGTGGAACGTACCGCCCCTCTCTTTGCTGGTACCCGAGGGTGAAATGAGGAGCCCTAGTCCCTACAACCTGAATTAAAAAGCCAAACTCTATAGCCAGCAGCTCCAATATCCTTTATTGCAGAGGACAATGTGTGTGCAAGCACACTATTGAAAACCTGGCTCACTGGGTTGTGTCTCCCTAACAAACTCGCACAGACCTCCTGCTTATAGGGTGGATATAGTGATATTGTACCAGTATTTTGGCCAACTGAAGGTGTGGATGAATTGTTCTGCATGGAAACTTATGCCTACCCCTGGGATTTAACAGCCACTGCCTTGCTATTTCACAGGCTTGCAGCCGCATGCCTCCAGAAATGTAAAGTAACATCTTAGCAAGTGTATTATTCTTGTGTGGAAAATACAGGCGCTTCAGGGTAGCATACCACGACCTGTATGATGATGCTACAGTTATAGCTGGGAGCCACTTAGTGTTTTTCTATTTGCATCGGTTAGGGTGAGTTCACAAAAATATTTACCATAAGAATTCCTTTTAGGATTGAATCCCTAATAATAACCCTGAGGGTGCACATGTACTAGTAAGATGTCCTCCTTCTACAGCAATGTATCTGCATGATTGATTATTACGAGGCACTTTGAATGTGGTAAGAAAATGTCTTAATAGAGCCATGCAAACATGAAAACTGCCAGTGAATATGGAGCTGGTTGCTCTCAGAGGCTATTCTTGTCACTCCTGCTCCTACTGCCGGGAGTCATTTGTGATGAACCAAACGTTTCAGAATCCAAATGCATCAGGTCAATCATTTCTCTTAAGAAACAGTCCTCAGGGAACAGTCTCTGGAGACTGGGCTATTTCTTATGCCATAAACTGTCATGGGGCCCTAGGACTAACTAGTATGCAGGAGCAGACCAGGCCTAAAGGAAGAATCCTGCCTTTGCTACGGCTGCATTTCAAAAGAAGGTTATAAATGCCTGGATTGCTTTCTGCATTTCCAGGCTGTCTGGTCTGGTTTGCAGGGAAAATCATTTTAATAGAAATTTGAGCTTTTAATAATCTGCAGCCCTCTCCTTCAATGAAACGAAACGCGCTGACTCTGTGTCTGCGCTCTTCTCTCTTGGGACCGTTTTGAGATCCAGTTATGCAAAAATGACACACATCCAATGGCTATCGTGGTGAATGCTCCTGCTCCAAGCGTGTAATTGCTGAATCCACCCAGCATGGCAGACCAGACCAAGGTCCTCCAAACCTGGATTAGTTCTTGGCTCTGTGAACGAATCACCAGTCATGGGCCAAGGGCTCAAAGTGTCTGCTTTTGTTGTCTGTGAGTCCCAAATAGGTGCGGTTGTTCATGAAATGCCTAAATTGCACCTGGCTGCAAAACTGCAGCTCCTTGGTTCATCACCTAAAATCCATGCATGTCTCTGGACATCCGGCCTCATCCGGTACCAGACCAAGTGTGTCCTCCTCACCCAGTCCCCAGGTTGTGTTTCTCCGTGGATGCCAAAGCCAGGAATAGCCAACCTGAAACCCTTATGAAAAATGATAGTTTGGCAAGGATCCTGTATCCTGAACATCAACCTGCCCTAGCACATAACCCAGTCTCCTACTTTATATGATGATGATGATGATGATGAAAAATATGAGGCTATTTTACCTGCCCCTTGGAGAAGACTTCCTTGCCTTGAGGTGAGTGAAGAAGTCGAACTTTGTAAGCCTGATGTGAATTGAAATAAATGCACTCATGTTAGCTATATTCAGGGAACTGCGCAGGACAGCATAAAGCAACCGTCTCATACGGATTAGGCCGGCACCGTACCTGGACTCCTGGCAGCCCCGGGCAAACTTTTAGTATCAGGCCCCCCCTTCGCCAGAGATAATGATAATAATAATGGGACAACAGCAAAAAAATTACAATTTTGGGGGCCCCCTTTCTGTCTGGTTCCCAGGCAGCTGCCCGGTTCCCCCATGCCCGTGTCCAGCCCTGGATTAGGCCTTGTGATGACCACAATGAAAAAATGGAGGGGAGCCTCTGACCCCCTTCCTGAACGTCATATTTTACATTGGCTGGATGGAGCGACTCTGGGGGAGCTGGCTTGGGGGAGGATATAACATGCCTTCTTGTGATTGAGTTGTAGCCTAATTGCTCAGCAAGTAATGCAAACCCTACTCAGTCTGGGTCTTGCCATCGAGCAAACCGAACACTAACATCTCTCATTCCTTCTAAGTAGCATGGGGTCCGATTCCTGTCCAGCCTCCCTCCTGTCTGCTGGCAATGGCAGAATTAGTGCCTGACCTCTTGCTGTGCAGTGAACTGCGCTAAAGGGTTTATAACAGCACCGTATTCATCCACCCTCTCTTGCTTTGTTCCCAGGGTGCTACCGGAGTTTCTGGCCCCAAAGGGAACCAGGTGAGTCAAGACTTTGAATTGGTCTTTTTTTATTATTCTGGTTGCTTTCACACTGAAGTCAGGTCTCAGCTCTCCTTTCTAGCTTGATCACAGCATCGCCGGCTTGTCCCTCGGTTAAAATTTAGCAAGTTAGGCAGTCGATGCAGACAATGACTTTTTTTTCCCTTCCAATTTAGTATCTGTGTGCAATGTATTTTTTTTTTTTTAAAGAAATGTGGAGATGCTCTATGTAAAATGTGACGCCCTTGATACTTGTCTCCCAATCCTCATACCTAGCAAGATTGAAAGCACTCCAGACCAAATCCTCTTTGGTGAACTTATGCAAGGCGGTGTGTAAACAGGTAGGATTTGAAGACTAGGAGCACTTAGTCTTGAGTACATTTTTGCAGCTTAACTTCTGTGATTGGTTTAATTCAACGAATGATCAGCTGAGCCAACTGGTGGCAAGTATACAACGACGTACAGTGGTGGAGCCCTTATCTCTGCAGGAAGCGGCATGCTCTATACCCAACAAGCATCTATATGGTTTCAAATCGCAATTCCCACTTGTAGCCACCTCCTTGTTGCTTTTGAAGGGCAGGCGTGCTCTAAGCTCAACGGTTCTGGGAAATGTAAATCTTAACTGCACGTCTAAGCCTTTATAGGCAATGTAACGCTGCTTATTACCCGCAGGAAATGCGTGCTGCTGTGAGCAATGTCTGGAAGGTGTTCATTATTCTGCACACATGGGCAAGCAGCTCGTCCGGCGCTGTGCCCTTACGTTGTCTCTCGCTATCTATGAATTACAAGCTCCCTCTGTCGGTTCAGTGGGAAACAGGCTATCCTAATGGCTCAGCATCGCTGTACAGAGCCAGTCGCCGAGCAACTCTCGGGAGGCCTGTGCCCTCTTAATGAGCCCGACTCTGAAATCAAATTGCTGCATAATAATTAGCCACCAGGTTTCCAATATTTTTACTGCTCGCCCTAGAGATAAACCCAGAGCTGTTGCTCATGGAGGTTTGGGTTTTAGTAAAGTTTGGGATTTGTAGGTTTAGTTTAGGTCTGTGTAAAGGCTTGTGCAAAGTGCCCTCAAGCACTTTATTTCAGAGGCCAACTCGGGGCAGACCCTCCTTTAGACAAGGAGGTTATTTTTTTGGCAGGGAATTGCAGAGCTATTAGCAATTCCCTACGTGGGCTGCAGAGCGTTACCTGTGGATATCTGCTGCCATTGCCTCCGAGCTGGTCTGCAGGGACCTTGAACAGGGGAATCTCTTAGTAAAGTTTTGCCACAGCTTTGGCATTGTGAAGAACACTTAGCGATGTACAAGACCAGCAATGCTGCAACATCTGTTTTCGAAGCAAAAAATCCTCCCACTGTCATCGTGACCCTGAAAGGTTCTGGATGCTCTTGACTCCCACTGGGAGTTGAGGGTATTTAGGATGCACAGGTCTGTCCGGGTGCCCAGGAAGTAAATTCCCCCTGGAAAGTCAAGCATGTGGTTGTGAATCACTGGATTATGCACCCACTGGCAAGGTTCCTGGTGTACAAACACTGTTGATTCCTTCCTAGGGCATTGCGGGAGCGGATGGCCTGCCTGGTGACAAAGGAGAACTGGTAGGCATCATTTAAATCCAAGGGAACCAAATCGCCAAAGAGCTGGACCCAGAGGTGCAGGAAGCAGGCTGCATGCACTGCCCCCATCAGCCTTTTCCTCAATGCCCCTTAGCATGTCAGGTTAAGCACCCCTGAAGGGGCCAGCTTGGTGCCCATGGACTGAGTCCAGCTGCAATATGTGAGCATACAAGAGAAATCACTCTAGTTTTCCCAGCAAGGCTAAAGGGATCCATCCTTTGCAAGTGCTGTCTACCCCAGCACCTCTGTGCCCCTGCCCTCTGTGCTGTGCCTGGACTCATAGGAGCTATGCCCTTGCTTTGGCACCAAGAGAAATGGCATCCCTGAGTAGGTGAGCCAGCACTGCTCTAAAGACCAAGGTGCTCCCCTTAGCAGAGCAGGCTTGTGTGACCTAAAAGGACATGTAACAGGGTGAGAGCCTTCCTCTTCTCTGGGTCCTTTGGCTTCTCTGCTTGAAGAAGTATTGTTTGCATTGGTGGAGCACCCTAAGGTGTCACTCAGAAACCCCGTGCAGAAGTAAGTGCTGCTCCCAGGTCGATCGATCTGTCCATCGATATCTGTCTTTGTTCCTGTTGGCTGTTCTTTCAAATATCCCCATTTTCCTCCTTTTCTTCATAGGGTCCTTTTGGTCCCCCAGGGCAAAAAGGAGAGGTACGTAGCAGCTGGTGCAGGCTCCGAGCCACAAGCGTTAATGCAATAAGTGTGTTTATCCCAATGGCTTCTGGTTATACAGTACCACGGGGAACGGTTTCCTTTTTGGTGTTATACTGTACCGTGGGTGGTGATTGCCTCTTTGGGTTATACAGTCCCATGGGTGGTTTATTCTTTTATTCAGGACTCTGAGTCTTTAATATATAATTGGGCCTTTAATATATAATATAGAATTATTATATATAATATATTTTGACTTTCATGGTTTCATGCACATGTTGAGACCAGTCCCTAAGGGGCTACTTCTGCTCTGTGCATAAATCCCGTGTTGGTGTGTAGCAAGGCAGGCCGAGTCACTTTGCACCCTGCACCCCATCCACAAGGCCCTTTGCACATGCTTAGCTTTAAGCACAAGCAGTCCAGTTGCAAACTGTTTTAAAAAAACCCAGTGTCACGCATTAAGTGGGGGAGGCAAAATGTAGTTAATCAAAATTCTCAGGAAGGAAACTTCCTGCTTCCCAGCCCTTCTTGATGGGAGGGAAATGTGACCCTAGGAAGAATAAGATGAGCAGCAACCTCTTTATTTGCCATCACAGCGATGCACCGGGAAAGACGAGAACATTTAGGCCTCTGTGTTTGAAGTCTAAGACCCTGTCCACACAGAGGTGGGAAGTAAGTTGGCATGAACCCCAGGAGCTCTGATGTGGTTTTGTGGAGCTGCGTTGTTCAGAGAAGCACCCGACCCATGCTACTCCTGTGCATCGGTTGTGTCCTGGGAGCGGTTTAAACTGCTGTTGCTGCTTGCATTGCTTCCACTGGGCACGGTCTGTAAAACACCTGTCACAGTCAGGATCTACATGCACACCCGCAGGGACTGCAGAAGGACACACGCAGTCAGGACAGCTGCTCTAGCAGCAAGAGGGAGAATGCAGTCGCGGGGAGGAAGGCTTAGCGACAAAGTACCAGGGCGGGAGTAACACTGTGCCCAGCCTCCTCTTTTACACCTGCTTTTTTCCCCCTCTTTAGGCAGGTGAAAGAGGGGAGCTGGGTCCTAAAGGTATTCAAGGACCCAATGGAACTGCCGGCGTGCCAGGGATCCCAGGCCATCCAGGACCTATCGGCCACCAGGGAGAGCAAGGTGTCCCCGGCATCGTAGGAAAACACGGCTCTCCTGTGAGTACTGCCGTTCTCCGAGCGCGGTCCTGCGTCGGGTGGGAACGGCTGGTCGCCGACAGCAGCAGAGTCCTGCATTCCCAACCCCAGGGCTGTTCTGCTTAGATTATGCCTACAAAGCAGGTTTTTGTCCCCTTGTCCACTGCTGGCCATGCCTTGTAGTACTGGAAGTGTCCATACTCGTGCTGGTTGCTATGAAGCAAATCAAGCTAATGGGCCAAGAAGAGAAGTCCCTCTAGTTACAACCCCTAAAAAGGGAATCCTCAATGAAAGAAATTAATGAAAGTGCCAGGTTTAGGAGAAACGCCATGTTTTTCCCATCTGGGTAGCTGATTCAAATGTAGCGTGAGCTATTAGGGGCATCAGATCGGAAGGGTGCATGGAGTCTATGGGCAGTCAGGGGTGAAGTTACCATCAGAAACCGTGTGAAAATATATCTTGTTCTCTCGGTACATTCCCAGTGGGCAGGTGTCTGTATCTCCAAATTGATCCCTGCTAGGTGGCTGTGTCAGAAGGGCCAAGGAAGGATGAGTGCAGAGAGGTTGAACTATCCCTAGAGGAGGTTGCAGCTGAGCGTGGGGCAAGCATGCGTTGTCACTACGCAGGTTGCACGTCTTCTGTGAACAGGGGTAGGCCGTCTCCTTCTCAGGTGCAGAAAATACAGAAATAAATGAACATTGCAAATGTAAAAGATAAGAAAGAAAACAGGAGACTGGCCTGTCTCCCACAAGGATAACACAGCGTTGTGTAAATCTCAGTTGGTGAGTGTCCTTCGTGGTGATGTAGTATGTTAGTGGTCTCCTCTGATCAGCAAAGGTGGCTCACTGGATTTTAACATGCAGACATCATCAGCCAAGTTTAAAGCTGTCTTTAGCTGGGACTTAATTTGCAGGCATCAACAACTGCCCAGAATAATTTAACATCATCAAGCAAGCTTCTAATTTTGCATTTGCGTTAATCGCATTTGTGCGTACAAACATGCATCGATAGCCGGCATCTATCGACTTGGCGAGACCAGTTGGTTTGTTTGTGCAAGAACACAGTTTGCAAGGATAGAAGGAAAAGTAACTTCCAAGGACTTGTCTCTTTGGGGTTTAGCCCACTCTCGGGATGACACATCAGTGACTGATGTACCATACCGAGACAGGTCAGTATGATGGTACATCTGGTTTCTTTGGAATGAGATGAGATAGGTGATAGTGCCAGGAAAGTGAGTTAAGACATGTCGAGTCAGTACCTATCAAAAGCAAATTCACTCCTGGTTGGATTAAATGATTTTATTCCTCAAATTAATCTGGAGGGGAGAGGGGGTAGTGTTTGTTTTTCAAAGATCAAGTTTCCCATTCCTATCAAGGTCAAAAACCCACAACTTAAGTATATGCCCTGAAATATTAATGCTACCCGGATAGCTTGTGGAGGGAGAAACAATGCTTTCTTCTCCATAAAAGCTCCTCTGTCTTATACTAGTGCTCACTCGGACGTGTGTTTTGAGCCCTGAGACAAGTAGCGTGATTATCAATAACATGACTGGTGTGTAAAATGGGATTATTTCGTTAACTGCAGGGAAAAGAAGCCAGCGAGCAACATATAAGAGAGCTCTGTTCGGAAATGATAAACGGTGAGTGCCACCGGGAGGTGGCTGAACTTTAGTTACTCTATCTAAACACGAGGGTGCTTTATAGTTAGTGAGCAATTCTGGCTACTTATTTTGATGGCGATGGCAATAATCTGAGCCGTGCGGATCCCACCGCCCGGGGGATCATGCAGCATCACGTGGTGAGCTTACCTTCATCTGCTCACGTGGCCCTACAGCCCTGTTCTCGGATGCCAAACCCCATGGGATTTGAGTCTCGACAGCACAACAACATATTGCTCCACATAAGCTGGTTTTCATGTTTCTTCCCAATGTTTTTGCACAGTACAGCTGGGCCTTAATTCACTGCGATGACAGCTAACACCAGTGACTCCGTTTCAATGACTTTACTATCAATTTCCATTCAGCTTGGCTCCCGCATTATTGAGAGTGTTTTATTGTAACAAAAGCAATTGCTGAGTGTTACTGGGACAGATTCCATCCTCGAGGAGGCACGTGTAGCTCCTCTTGGAGCAGGCCGGCGTTGTGTGCATGCACCTCTGAGAGCCGTAATTCTGCCCGTGCTGTGCAATCAGTGTTGTTTCACTGGGGGAAGCTCAAAGCCTGCACTTTCTCCGTTTATGAGCTGAACTTGCTCCCAAGTGTCACACAGCTGTAAGGCTGCAGTCTCCAGGCATCACATCAAGCAAGAGTTAACCTAGTTTTCATTCTGTTATCACTCTTCTCTTCCAGAACAAATTGCACAGTTAGCTGCTAATCTGAGAAAGCCTTTGGCTCCTGGGATGATGGGTCGGCCTGGCCCTGCCGGTCCCCCAGGCCCTCCTGGGTCAACAGGAACTGTTGGTCATCCCGGTGCTCGTGGTCCGCCTGGATTTAGAGGGCCAACAGGAGAACTTGGAGATCCTGGCCCCAGGGGTAAGATGCGTGAAGTCGTCAGCAGCACCCAATCCTGCGCCCACCGAGGAAATGGCAAGCCTCCTCCTAGCTTCGCTGTTGCAAAAGCAGGTCCTCAGAGGGGAAAGAACAGGAGGCCTGAGCAGGTGTCAGAGCTGTAGAAAGTAGGCGTGTGGTTTAGGAAGCAAAGTGAATCCTCATCACTGCGACATGTCAGGGAATGAGGCATAGGGCTTGACCTTCGGGACCGCAGCATCTACAGGTTGTATCCAGTCTTTCTCCCTCTGTCCCTCCCCTGCTGCCGTATGTGCCTACAAGACCATCCTACTGGTGCCTGAATCACTGAGAAAACAGATGGTCTCCTATCGTTCCTTGCAGGAGAGGATGAAGAGCTGCTTCTCTGATTCTGTGCTACTGCTTTGCCTGGCCTCGCGCCACTGGCATGACGCTCACTGAGATGCAAATGCCAGTGCTAGTCCGGAGCATTTTACTCCACATTGTCTGGTCAAATGACTTGCACCCATCTCTAGGGTCCTGCCCTGCACGTAGAGACTGCAAACCCTCCAGACCAGAGACGCTGGCACTGACCTGTTGTGTCCAGTGGCAGATGCAGAGTCGTTCTTCCTACATGTATTTGTCATGAGCCATCAAGCCTTTTTCTCTCTCTCGAACAACCAAAATGAAGAGTATGAGTTAGGACAAAGCGTGGGGAAAAAAGATGCTGGTGAAGTGTCTTGTTTCTCAAGCCTACTCAGGGTCTGATTCTCCAGCTTTCCTATCAGCAAATGTGCAAAGCTTGGAGTTTTATTGCTACCAACCTGTGCCTGACAGTTAATAGTAGTAACTTGGCTAATGGGTTGCAACAGCTGAAAGCAAACCCAGCCTTTGAAGCTTTTCAGGCTCCTGCTTGTCCTGGCAGGTGCTCTAGGATAGGAATGAGACGCCAGGGGGCAGCACGCTGAAGCATTTACTCCTGCAAAAATGTAATTTTCCCTTTTCTGTCCCTGCCTGTTCAAAGTGTGCTGGGACAGCGGGTGATACATTCGGCACACATGTAGATCTGACAGTTATCTGTTCAAATATGCCATATATATATGTTAAGATATATGATTACCAGCAGATTTAGGACTTTTAAATTGCCTTTTAAAGATATTTAGCCACTGAAAGTCATGATTGGGCACTATCGCCCGTGGGACTGTCCCAAAGCACCTAACTCGTATTTAAGTCAATGGACCTTCTTTTTTTTTTTTTTTTTTTGAAGATGCAGGTGTCTTTGAAAATCTGCTTTTTATAAGTACAGAGCATTTAAGAACTTTGTTTGGCTGGTAATAGTTCCAGCAGTGCGAACACAGGAGACGGAGATGCAGATAGTTGTAAGGAAGTGGGGGGGAGGGGAGGCTCTAAATCTGGTAACAGGGTGCAGGGTATGAGGGCAAACCGGATTGAAATCAGCAACGTCTGAATTAATGAAAACGTGCATCCCTGCAGGTGACCCTGGTGACAGGGGAGACAAAGGAGCTACTGGCCAAGGCATTGATGGGCCTGATGGAGATCAAGGACTTCAAGGTAAGTTGATGCAGCATTTAACCAAACTGTTAAATACGCAGATAATGACAGTACCGACTTGGAAAGTCCCAGCCTACTACACTGTTAATCAAGGAGGCAGCAATTGCTCTGGGTCAAAATAAAGGCTATCGGGGGACTGTGTAGTGTGTGGTGTATCTGGACTTTTTTCTCCCCAAAACTACTATGCATCTCCCTTGAGTGACTGCTGCATAATCCCGGTGGTACCCAGCCAGCGCGGCCTGCTGGAGTGGTCCTTGGCCCTCCCGTGCCTCTCTCCCATTCCTCAGTGTTTTAGGGATGTGGCTGTTCAGCTTTCTCAGTTCCTTCCAACCCGACTAGGAATGGGTTCAGACCTTAGCTCATCCAACTAATGCTTTATTGGCCTTAGCTGGGGAGTCTCTGGTTCAAGCTGCTACTGGGATCCCAGCTGTGCTGGGCAGATTGCAGGGCTGTCTTCGTTCCCCTTGCCTTTAGGGAACAGTGGATGCTGCTGGAGTTCAGCACATGGTGTTCCCTGCCCCGCTCCCTGGTTAGCAAGCTGTAACCTCCACTCCCGTTCCTGTTGTCATTTGTTCTCCCAAAAAGCAGTAGTTGTCACCCTCCCTCTGACCATAGAGGGGGGTGGTAGTTCCCAATGGGCCTGCACCCACGGTCTAGGCGTAACTATTTGCACCAGCACTGGATACAGCCAGGAATGTAAGTAGACATTGTAAGCCATCATTATCAGTTCTAGCATCCTCACCCAGCCTCACTCCCGAGGAGCTACACTGAACAGATCCCAAGTTGTGCAAGTGATGTCCAAGCAGGAGAATCAAAGGCAGGTTTCCAAGTCGCTTCTAAGATGTGTGAAGATAATGCAGTTTTTAGGTGCCTAACTCATGCAGTGGCACTCTGCTTTGCTTCACATGATGGCCTGACACCAACGTACGCGGCTAAATGCATGCACGTGAGACGGTTACAGTTTCAGCCGGTCCAGTGGAGGATGCTGCGTGCTCAGACGCAATTGCACACTACCCAGAAGACTTTTAATGTCTGTTCATGTGCTGTGGGCATATAGGCAGGCAGCATAAACTCCCAAGAAGTGTGGCTGAAAAATTAAATGAAAAGCCCAGTGGGTATAACTAAATTATAATCAAAAAGCCCCTCTAGCCCAGTAGGCAGTACACCTACCCAGGACAGGAGAGCCTTGATGACTCATGTTCTTAGTGACCTGTAGCACAGATACAGCCTATAAGCCCCCATCTCCCAGTTTTAATTTTGCCTCTAAATAAAAGGCAGTGTTTCATGCTAAATCTGTTTTTCTTTCTCTCCTTTAAGGACCACCCGGTGTTTCAGGAATCAGTAAAGATGGTCGGGATGGTGCTCAAGGAGACCCCGGTCTCCCAGGGGATCCTGGAGTGCCTGGTGCAACTGGGGCTCAGGGGACTCCAGGAATATGCGATACGTCAGCCTGCATGGGAGCTGTTGGAGCGTCGACTTCCAAAAAGTCATAAACCAGCATTGAAAGAAGTGGAGAAGTGACTGAATATTTAAGTAACCAGTGCATTGTATGAAGCCAGAGAGGAGCCTCCTAGTGATAAACGGACAGAGGTTCCTTCTAGTAAAATGAATAAAGTGGAGACTTTGCCACAGTATTTCAGTTCTGTGAAAAAAAAAGAAAGCATCACGTGAAAATCTTTACTAGAAAGGTATTAAAGAAGTATTTCCCCCAATTATTATCTAGAATGTTTATGGCAAAACCACCTCACCTTCCCTGTCCCCCTTTGTTGGACAGACCTGCAGGAGAAAGCGCTGTTCCTTTTACCATCCGCTCCCTCATTGTACTAAGGCTTGTGGCAATTTTGAGTGAAGGCTTGAGCCAGTGCTCATTGCTTTCGGTGGTGCTGCTCCCATTGACTTCAGTAGTGCAGGGTACAGCAATAAGACCCTGATTCTCAAAGATACTTGGGTACCTACCTCCTACCGAGATCTATAGGAGACTGAGAGCTTGAGTACCTTGGAAGACTTGGGTCTAAGCGAAGATCATTGCCCATGTATATTCGTTGTCCACCGTGACATCAGACCATACCTCAATCATTTGCCATGGCTAGTAAATATTAAACTTCTTGCAGTCTACGCCTGCAAGGGGTGTAATGTATATATTATAATTTACAAGGGAGATTTTCTGTATATTTCCATGTTATAATAAAGGATATTCAGTAACAGCATTTTCACAACCTCTACTTCAGCTATTTGCACAGCATTTGTGAAAGAAATCCCAAGAGAAAAAAAGGATGCTCTTCTAAAGGCAAGCCAAAATTACTGTATGAACTGTTGTAAAAATAAAAGGATTTTTTTAAACCTTTTTTTGGGTGATGTTGTAACTGTCATTATATCTGTATATATATATATATATATATATACTGAACCCTGTTCTGCTTAACTCCATCTTCCCCTTTAGAATTATTTGGAAATAAATTGCTGCAAAATTGTACGTATCCGTGATTTACAACAGTATTTATTTTGGGGTGACTTTTGTGTACTATAAACCTGTTAGCATCATCCACTTTCAGGGCACAAACTATATCAATTTCTGTCCTACATGTTGCAGCTTATTAACAAGTAGCACCATTACTAGTCTTTAATATGAAAGTATTTTGTGCATTTAAATCATTCGCTGTTTACAATATACCACTTTTGGACTAAAGCAACAATACAAGAACTTGTTGGACAGGTTGTGCAAAACTATTTAAAACAGTGCCATATTTAAATAACAATGCAAATAGCATTGCATGGCATTTTAATTCTATGGGATATACATTTTTATATGCTTGGCAATCTAATCTCCAGTACATACAATAGCATGTGCAAGTTATGTAATTATTGTGCAATCAAAAATCATTTCATTTTCTCACTGTTCCAATAGCAAAACGAGCATTATAATGGCATCTTTATAATTTAATAGGAATGCTCCTTCATAACTGAATACATGCAATAAGAAAATGGATGTTCCATAACCTTTCTAACTATATCATGTTTAAAAAAAAAAATCTAATGGATTTTTTTTGATAGCTAATGGGGAAAATATTTAGTAGCTGTCGTGACATTTCCTTGTTGCCTGCGGTCCCACACCTCTCTAAGAGGGCACTGATAAATACATATTGTTGGTATCTTTCCATTTTGAATAAAGAATATTTTCTTTAATGTTCTATTTATGTATTCTTACAAACTGTATTTTTCAAGTCACTCTTGAATACTATCAATTCAAATTAGCCACGGGAGATGAAGTCCGGCATGTGAACACAGAAAAAAATATGCAAAGTTATTAGGTATCCATCTTTCCCACAAAATGCTGGGAATTGATACTATTTGCTCTCCACAGTTGTACTGTTCTGCACATTTTCCTGCATTGGACATGTTACTAGTGAGTCGGGTCTTGTCAGTTTTAGTCTTCTGCCTGTTTTACCACAGAACACCGTCTCAAATTCCTAGAATCAAAAACAGAAAGGGATTACTATCACGTTTAATGAAAAAAAAAGAAAAATGTTATTACAATACTATTGGGCAAATGCTGGAATCGGAGTATACCCGAAAGGTCTTTGGGAAACTTGTTTCTAATTTCCTACTTTGCCACCGACATCTTAGGGTTAGACAGCCAGTGGTATCTAGGCACCTGACTCCCACTTGCCTCTCCAAAGGGAGTCAAGACACACAAATACTGCTGAGGATCTGGGACTCAGCCTCCCTCTGCCTAAATTTTTTCATCTGCAACCATGCAGGTAATATTCTGCAGGGGCAGCAGGATAGCAAACAGTTCAAGGACTGTGATGATAACCGTGTGGCAGGTGCACCAGCTCACGGCTGAGTACAAGGGTGTCTTGTAGGGAACAGGACCACTCTGCCAAGCGGATGAACTGAGCTGCAGTTCCCGAGACGCTGCTAGTACCAGAGGCCACAGCTTTTTACCACCTCAACAAGAGCCTTGTTATTAGAGAAGCCTTTGCAGCGGCCCCAAACCTTCTGCATATTAGTACACGTGGTCCCCGTGCCTGGTGAATCAGTTCACAGAATCGCAGAAAAGCAGGGCTGGGAGGGACCTCTGGGTCTGGGACAGACATCGCATAAGCCGGTTTCACAGATTTCATAGACATTAGGGCTGGAAGGGACCTCGGAAGATCATCGAGTCCAGCCCCCTGCCCCAGGGGTAGTCATCTGCCCAAAGGGCAGGATGTCAGCTAGGGTCAAAGGATCCCAGCAAGATAAGCGTCCGAATGTTTCTTAAGAGTCCAGAGTAGGAGTGTGCACCACCTCCGGAGGAAGTCTATTCCAGGCCTTGGGGACTCGGACAGTAAAGAAGTTTGTCCTTATGTCCAGCCTAAAATGGTCTTGGAGGAGTTCGTGACCATTCGACCTTGTCTTCCCTTGGGGCACCCCGGTGAACAGGCGTTCCCCCAAATCAGTTAAGTCTGATACTACATTCAACCAGGTTTCTCTCAAACCAGTTTCAGCCGTTTTCAAACTGGTTTATGCGCACTGAACATCTGTTCTGTTACAGGTTTAACCAGTTTCCGATCACTTAAAACGGTTTGTGTGTAATGTCTGTCCCGAGCCCTGGAGGTTAGCTGGTCTAGCCCCCTGCCAAAGGCAGGATCAACCCCATCTAAATAATTTCTCCTAAACCATGTCTAACCTATTATTAAAATGACATGGTTGATTCCGTCACAGCCTAGGACCTTAACCTTTCACAAGTAAAGCAAGGGGACAACGGTGGACAATGTCCTGCTGCTGCAAGGGTTAAAATACGCTTTGGCTCCGTGAGTCCCCCCCGGGGTTGGCTGAGTTATGAGACCAGCACAGAGAAAGCACCAACTGCCCATCCAGCTTGAACGTATCTGCTCATACATTGAGACATCGCAAACACATCTGGAGCGGCATAAACCGCGTATGTGCCAAGCCCCCCAAGCCAAACTTTGTTTGGTCTGAATGGTTCGATGTAGCACACAGCAGGAGCTCAAGTCAGGAAAGCTTTTTCATAATGCCTATTAAAACTGAATTGGAAAAAAAGGTAAATTAAATGGTATTTCTTTCGAGTGGCAAAGTCAAGTCCAGCAGAAATGTTTCATGCACTTTTAGTGATATTGTTATAGTTTTTTTAAGTAAAATATTTTTAACAACCCCACTAAAAAACCTAAAATTGGATTGTGGGATACAGACCTTTTTCAGAGAATCCCCATGCCTTTCTTGAATGTACTTCAGAAATGCTGTTGTCCACTGTAGAGTCGTTGCCTTATCGGTATCAGCAGTGCAGAAGGGAACGAGAAAATTCAATTCATCACAGCAAATCCGGATTCTGCGCCTAGAGCCACATTCAAAATAATAAATTTAGCAAATTACTCAAATAGCTTATACAGATCGTACACAGTGGTCTTCTTAAGCCACAAACATCTCCCTTAGGCTTTACACACTTTCTTTCAAAGAACTGGCCCCTCTTAATCTAAACCACAACCAAGGATGACAGTGGTTCCTTAGTACGCACAACATCCTAGGGCATTTTTACAAGCGCTGTGGGGGTAGGGGGGCTCCGAGAGCTGCTCTAACTAAAGTGCCACAGCACCTCGTCTATCAGCATCCCTGTGCGTCAAAGTGGCAGCGGGGGTGCTTTAACAAAACCTTATCAAACGAGCTTTAAAGTGCCCCACTGCCATCTTGAAGCACAGGGATGCAGATTAATCAAGTCTGCTCCGACGTGCTGCAATTACAGCGCCTTGCAGCAGCCTCCGGGCATGTCTACAAGCACCCTTAGTGCTTAGAGAGCTTCCCCAGAAAGTATGAAATTGCACCTCGGTTCTTTCCTCTGCCTGCAGGGACTTACACCCACGTCCTGCAAGGACACCCCCACTTCCCCCCCAGCTACCAAGCTAAAAGCTGGATCAGGGCACTTTCCATTCCGAAAGTGGCTGAAGTCTCCCAGTGCAACCCAGAGCATCGTAAAGGATCGTGTCAGCTGAAGTGGTCCTCCTTAGGCCACTCCGCTAAGACAAGGATCAGTAAAGCGTGTCATACCCTTGGCAGGCCCAAGAACGATGCAGAGAAGATGGGATAAAGTCAACAAAAAAAAGCCAGCTTTATTGGCTGACCATTATGCCAGCTTTCCTTACAGGCCAACTTTCCAAAAACCATGCAAAACGGAGCTTGGAGTCAGAATCTGATTAATTATCATCTTAGGATATTTCTAAATCCAGTTCAACCATAATGATACAAGTCTTTTGCAATTGTCATTAATCAGCTGCGAAGAGCCGATAAATTGGTTTATGGGAAGACAGATACATATTTTTAAATGACTGACGTGAGATGTAGATCATGATTATACACCTTCTGCCAGCTACAGATTTGAATTATACTCAATTGTTATAAAACGGCTATCCTCTGAAAGATGTTATTAAACATTGTGGATTGTCTTACAAATGTATTAGAATCAACAATATAAAAAGACTTTGAAAATGTCCTTTACTTGCTTCCAAGAGTATGCCACGTATTTCACCCAAGGAACGCTATTTGCTCCAGATGACAAATGAAGCAAAATGTCTCCAACTACTCTCTTATTATAAAATCAGTCTTTTAAGAATGCTGAACTTCATTCACACTTCCAAAATATTTGGTATTGCAGCTCTGCGCTTAACGAGAGAAGTTACCTTCTGTCTCTTTCCATGCGGTTATGTCTCTCCCGCCGCTGAGAGATTCCTCCCTGCGTTCCATTTTGGGCCTGAACGCTTGAATTTGACTGCGCTGCCTGCCAACTACCCTGAGCAGATGTAGTATTTTGGCTATCACACATATTCTGAATTTCACCAAGGGGTTTGCGGTCTGCATTTGTGTCCAACTGGCGTAGCCGACTGCGACTTCTTTTATTTATTGCTTGTTTGCATAAAGCTTCTTCTTTGCAAAACAAGGAGGGAAAAGCAAAACTTTATTTCTGATTCTCCCACTCTATCGTCATTTAGCTGCAACCTTATTTTTCACATTTGATTCTGACGGGGCTAAAGTGAGACTACTATCAGAAAATGAGGCCTCAGCGATTATAACTTATTCTCAGTTAGTTTATACGGACAATGACACTGATAATGTTACTGAATCGCTATCTATATACATTTATTAGAAAAAGGACAGCATTTATATTTCATATTTTCAAAATGCAAATGCCTGCTGAACTCCAAGTGTGAATGAATGAGGTAACTAGCATTTCCAACTCCATATGCAACAGGTAAAAAGGGATGTCCTGTAGGTCTCCAGACATCGCTGGAGGTCAGAAACAGAGGGACGGAGACAGAGGCCCAGAGCTAACAAACTACCATGTTTCCATAACAGCCTAGCTGCAATTATTCCCACCTGCCCCCTACCACCCCCAAAATGCCTGCAAATTTGGTATCTGGGGAGGAACCTGCAGAAATAATGACAATTAGGTGGGTGTTCATTCAGGTATTGATAGTCCCACGGTCTATAGGGGTACAAACTGGGCTGGTTGCACTCATCCTTGGTATAACATTACATTCAAAACAGGCTACTTAAAAAGGAACAGATTTTTAAAAGTCCTCTACCGTTTCAACTCTTCTCATTACAAGCTACTTAGCAGACAGCCACTTTGAAAGCCTCCCCACAGTTTTAGTTGTTGGGCACTTTTGAAAATCTTGTCTCACATTTTCTACAGAATAAGTGAACGGTGGGCAATGTCATCAGGTTTCATTGTGCCAACTCAGTAAAAACACATTAAGCCCAGAAAAATAAAATCGTTAAATCAGAACAAAAATATCATTGGAAGTTTAGGCGCACAGAAAGCACAATACTCAAAACCTCAATAATTTACCTCCAACTTTAATCCAAACTTGCTCAGGCAAAGCTTTATTCCTCGCACCTACTGTCTGTTTAGTGGATTCAATTTCCTGATGATAACAGAAAGAAAAAGCCCTAGGTAATCCGAGGTCTTGGTGTTTTGCAGCTTCCACAGTAGTACAAGATGCCCCCGAGCTCTAGAAAAGAATCAGGACATGTTAAGAGAAAAGAGGAGCATGACCTTTGGTCTTCTGATGCGGACATTAGGTGTTGACCCATGAGACGATGAGCTAAAATTAATAAACTGCTTTTTTTTCTGCACTGCCATTTTCATGCCATTTCACCATTCAGACTGTGCGGTTTTACTACTGCACTTAGGACATTTCCTGCATGTCAATTTGAGTTATTAGACTTGGCTTGTAGCAACCGTAAGAAAATCAAATGACATTTTTTTTTTTTTTTGCCAAAAGGAAATCAGAAGAGGGAACCAAGAGAAAACTCTTGTAAACAGCTGCTTGCTGTTGCCCATGTAGGCATGAGGGACGATGGTGCTTGGACTGAATAAACAGAAATGCCCTTTTGATTAGAAATCTAATGGTCATTCTAGCGAGGACAGTTTTAGCACGCGATGTGATTCTCACTTGGTCGTTTGGACTGAATACTTTTGAAGATGAAGCATAAAGGTTAAATACACATCCCTCTGAACGCGGCTGCTTACGTCACTTTCGAAACACACTATTTCAAACTGAAAATGGTTACCTATCGGACTCAATTTGTATAAATCCTACAAGAAATTAAATAAGATGCAGAATAATGTGAATATTGCAAATCAGCAAGCTTACAAGTATGGGGGGGGGGGGGGGGGAAAAAGACCACCTACCTGTATTTGTGAAGGGTTGACGTTTCCAGTACTAGAACTCGCATTCATGGTAAATAACGGATATGCAAACTGCAGGGCAGTCGTTGTAGCAGTGGTCTTATTTTTCACCAACGTCGTACATTTGCTTGGCTGCTGGTGAAGAGGAACGCCCATCAGCTCCGCCGGCTGACGAATCAGCGTTACTAAACTACACGCACACACAAAAATTAAAACAAACCAGCTTACTTCAAGACACAACTGCAGAAAACAACAGCTACATACTCCTCTAGCGAGTCATAAGTCACTGCCGCTTACTGTGCAGACCTACGATCACGAAGAGCTATGACCCTCACTCCCTTTTCAAGGACAAATAAAGATCAGCTTCATACGCTGTTTGATTTGGTACGTTCAAGTGACGGCTCAGCTTTGCAAAATGTATTTCTGTCTGCTCTCTAGAGCACAAAGTTTCAGGACCCGACGCTGCTCAGGGGCAGGCGTGCGGGCTCTGCTCGGATCAGGCCCTTCCAGATTACACGAGACGATTTCCCCCACGCTTTTATTCATCAGCTGTGAAATCGAGGATACTTTTGCTAGAAGCAGCAAAATGTGACGGGTCTCACTGTAGGCCTTTAGCTTTATTTTTAGCTTTAAAAATAAAGCTGAAAAAAACCAGCCATTTCCTGTATTTATTGCAAAAGTAACCGATTCGATGTACTGTGCGCACAACTAAACCAATTCAGACTAGAGCATGAGCAGGCACAGCTCGAGGTCAACAGGAGTCCTGTCCAGTTCCAGCAGACATTAATTTGGTCCTAATCAATTTAAATATATTTTTAAAAAGCTGCCGTTCATACACTTGAATTTCCGGAGTGATTCGAACTCTATGAAAACACTTAGCGTCACCGTATACCAAAGTAAAGCGAGTTATAACACACTTGTTAAGAGTCGCTCCAGGTTCTTGGGGCTCCTGACACCTCGGGTTTTCCGCCTGGATGCTGTTGAACCGGTCTTCCAGCCGGACACGGACGGCAGATTTCGATCGCGGCTCAGGAGCCGGCGGCGAACGGTCAGGAAGGACGTTTTCTTTGTTCGCCCCGGCCACGTTTTCGCCGTGCTTCACCCTCGCTAAACCGTGCCCCGCGACGTCTACGCAGGTAGCGTTGGGCGTTTTATCTCCTTGGCTGGCGGGGAGATTGGACTCGCTCAGCAGCATCATTCGGAGCTCCTGAAAGTCCACATGACCCAAGCACTGGTTTGCCCCCGTGCCACCGCTCTCGGGCGCCAACCCCGACTGGCAAACCACCGGGCACGCCGCCGGGTTGGCGGAGGAATAGCCGGCCGGCCCGGCGCTCGCCGCGGGCTGGTGCGGAGCGGCTTCGCACGCCGAGAAGAGCGCCGAATTGAGCCTGGCGTCCATGTCCCCTTCGTTGGCTTGCGCCTCCATGTGCGAGTAGAGGATGTGCTGCAGCTGGGTGTACTCGATCTCTGTCATCTCCACCAGGTTGAGGTCCGTGGTGGTGAAGCTCAGGTTGTGCTCGCCCGAGGGGCCTTCGGGCCCCGTCGCCGGGGAGGGGAGGGCTGGGCGCCCTTTGGCGCCGGACCCCGACATGGTTTGGGGACGGCGGT